CATTGTTTATTAACGCTAAGTTTTTGCCTTTAAACTTTTTATACTATACAACTTTATCTGAATTGATGCACGACGTTAACACTGCTTTTGCCCCAATTAACATACGTAATTTATTTACGAAAACGTCTAATGTCCATTCTTACAACACACGCTCTTCTACTTCCGATGATCTTTACATAAAACCCTCAAAACTTTAGATACAAAAAAACGCCTTTTCAAGAACTGGTGCTGAACTATAGAATGAGATACCAAGGTCTCTGAAAGAACTACCATAAAAATCATTCAAACTCAGAATTAAAAATATACTACTAAGTGTTCTCGAAGAAGAAAATTCCTTTATTGAGACCTCGACCTAGATAAAGCCATCGAAACTATCAAAGCAAGTCAAGTTACTCACTCCCGAGCGAAAGAGATCTCAGAAGAATTTTCAGCTAACGAATATATTAATGCAGTGGGGCAAAAGTCGAAACCCAAGCGCCGGTAAAGGTCGGGTCGCAAACCTTCCAACAAGGACCCTCCCAAGATTAAAGAGTGTTTGTTTTGTGGTGGTACACATGCACCTGAAAGGAAATTGCGTCCAGCTTCAGGTCACAAATGTAAGAAGTGTGGCAAAGAAGGCCATTTTGCAGCCAAGTGTCGAAGCAAGTCTGGAAATTCAAAAGTTCACATTATTGAACAAGAAAGAGTCTTTTTCATTCGTAGTATTAGTGGTAAAGATCAAGCTCTTTTATCGCTCACTTTGAATGGTTCAGCATCAGTGACATTTCAAATTGACAGTGGTTCGTCTGCAAATATCTTGCCACTGCAGGATTACATAGGGGCAACAAAAGATTGCAGTAAAGTTTACATTATTCCTATGGAAATCACACCGTTTATGCGCAATCACTCAAAGCGAAAGGCTCTTGGTTCTGCAAGGCTGAAAGTGGAACATAAAGGTAACAAGCATGAACTTATCTTTGCTAGTTACACCTTTGCTAAGCTAGTTACACGTTTGCTTGGTTTGAAGTCATCACAAGGCATGAGTCTTGTGAAGATTATGTTGCCTGAAGTTGATACCCCCGTCAATAATGTAGTTGCAGCTCCTTCAGATCCTTGTGTCCACCGTCCAAGAAGGTTGGCCTAGCACTCTGGTTGAAGTTCCAGCTGAGATCAAGCCATACTTCCAGTTTCGAGATGAAATCACAGCCCAAAATGGTTTGCTGTTCAAGGGCGAGCGCCTCAATGTACCTGATAAGTTAAGAAAGGAAACGATGGAAAGGGTCCATTCGTCCCATCGTGGTATTGAGGGTTGCCTTCGACGAGACAGAGAAGTGTTCTACCGGCCGCGCATGAATGCTGAGGTAAAAGATTTCATTCTCAAATGTGATATCTGCAATTTGTACAAGCCAGCACAGCCTCGAGAACCGCTAATACCCCATGAAATCCCATCAAGGCTTTGGGAAAAAGTTGGCACGGTTCTGTTCTTGTTTGACTGCTTGTGTAATATCTCTTTTCCTTTCTCTACAAATTTTTTAATGTTGATTATACTACGTATTTTCGTTAATGTTTTGCAAGTTTTGTTTGTTCTGGGTTTTGCAGAAAGCTAGAAAGTTTGCGGAAACATCAGCTTCAGAGTTATTTTAAGCCACACTCTAATGACCAAGCCATTTCAAAGACAACCCAAAAAATATCCTACTGTAAATGACGTAAACTGAACGAATTAATGTGTTGGTACCGATAAACCGTTTTACCAGATCCGAAGGGCTTAATGACTTCGTCAACTTTGGACGCCAGGATTCTTAATTGGTGAAATCTTCAACTACTCAACCGGTGTAACCCAACTTATATAGAAAGGTATGACTAAATACCGTGTTATTTTCATCGCCTGCTTAATCCAAAATAAAGTAGACAAATGAACAGTGATTTAAAAAAGGACTGTATAAATCCAAACCGTGTATGTCTTACGTTAGTGCGGAAAGATATTTATCCGTGCAGTGATATGAATTATTTTTCCTTTCCCTTTTTTTCACTTCCTTGTTGCGAGTGTTGAGTTTTTTTATAGGTAAGAAAAACCAAATTATATCCTTATAGTCACTTTGATTCCCGTGTTTTTCTGCACAAACTAAAAGAACAGTACCTTATGCGCAAGATTCGTTTCGCTAGTTTGAGAGACTTTCTTCAACTTAATTTAGATTAATGAAACCAGATTAATAGAAGTAATATTTCTGAGTCACAAACGCTATTGAATTCACACAAAACCAGAGAACAAAGCTAATCGTCTAATCTTTAATTTTGATTTCTTTGTTACGATAATCATTAGATTACAGTATTTGTGTCATAATCAGTCCTTTCAGCAGGTTAACATGGCTATTTCTCCTTTTCTTCGTTGTAATCGTCGGATTGTCCTCTTTCCATTCCCCTGCTTCTTTTAACTTGAGGAAAGTTGTTTGCGCCTCTCTCAACCTATCAGAGGGAAATTGAAAACAGAAGAAGAAATCACGAAGTTAAAGACATTCCTTTAGCCTAAGAACCCAGAATTTAAAATAATAGGTTGTTTTATTAAAAGATTCAATGAAATAAATTACAGGAAGACTGTTATACAGCGAACCACTTTTCGTAAAATTCAATTATCTTCTAAAGCGTATATGCACCATAGTCTAATTTCATTGCAGCGATTGCAATGCAAAAACTAGCTGGCTAAAGACGCCAAAGATATATCTAAATTGTTAGAGAATATTAGAGAAATTGTTAGAGACACTCCTTAAGTAGCCCAAAGATCTAGAAAATTAAAAAACACGTTGGGGCAATGAAAGATCAGGGATTCAGTTTATGGGACGATCGTTTCTCACTTTGACACAGGTTTTCAACAATAATGCAATGCCAGCCAATTTACAGTATTCCACATAAATTAGCATTAAGTGATAAACCCAAGAACTATCCCTTTTTTTTCCAGTCGCCGTTCCCTGAACACTGAATATTCTTAATCCTTCTTGCTAATATTCAGTTGTCGAGCTTAAATCAGTTGTGTTTATCAAAACTACGAGGGAACGATGCAAACCTGTTTCTCCAACTCTCTTTTTTTCCCCCCCCTGGGATATAGGTCCTGAAAAGCCGTGACTATCAGTAACGAGATTTGCGAGCAGAAAGAGAGCGGCAAGAACTAACACAGCTTGGTTCTTCATTCTTTCAATGCTTGAAAACGACAACAGTGGACAATCAGTATTTCGATGGACTTCTCTTGCATGGGTAGAGATCTGTCGCTTTTATTTCCTTTCATGGAAAATTAAACATCAAACTTCCGCTATTAAATTAACAATATGGGTGCAAAAAGAGCTCCGCCCTATCTAGATTACCTGGTTTTAACTGTATTTTTGGGCATTAAATACGAACATTATTCTACCTCGAATTCAAATGATCACTCTTAAACAACAGGCTTTACTGGGTAAATTCTGACATGCGCCCTAAAACAAGCTAAAACACACTCGTCGTGCAACTTTCTGACAGAGGCAAGTTTCTGCTCGAGTCCAACTTACGACTTCTTGCAACTACTTGCGAGTCCGTTTGGCCAGGGCTTCAAAATAAAGAAGCCTCATCATTAGGAAAGTGATCTTGTGCATGGGAAATCTTCTCTCTTTTTTTCCGAGGAAAGTGCTGATCAATTACCTCTTTTGGAAACATGCCGCTTCTTTAATTAAAGGTCTACTTTGGCGAAATTAGTAAATGCGAAGGTGTCATAAATCATGGAAACGCCTTCATCGGTCATTTAATTTAATAATTTAATTTAATTATATTTTGTAGGAAAACTTGTCCTTGCTTAAGAGTAATATCATGTACCGATCTAACTTCCTTTAAATATGGAATAATTTTGTGTTCTAAACTCAGCAAAATTAATGCTAGAGCAAAATACAGTTTCGTATCACAAATCCACTCAAATTGCATGATTATCGTGCTAATAAAATGGATGGTTAGAATTTGTACAATCGAACATTTTTAACAAGTGCCTTAGCACTGCCTAAGCTAACAAAATGTAAGGCAACAATCTGGCCGCCCGAGAAACTTGTTTATTTTTCCTTTCGCTCATTGATTACTTTTACGAGCGATGCAAGAATCGAAGTGGAAACTTGACAGATGATTTCCTGGGGAGATGTAATTTAATTCAGCGGTAAAAAAAAAGTTCTCGATCCATACAGGATTGAAACATCCTTGATCTCAGTTCTAAGTACCTGTACAATGATTCTCATCGATGAGTTTCGTCACATAACTATAGGAATAAAATTGACCCTTTTGCATGAATTCCATTGTTTTCTATATATGTAAAAAAAAAAAAGATTGAAAAATTGATTTGAAAAACCGTTTTATCGGTGTTGTTTCACGGATACCCTGACATTTAGGTATTTCAAACACTGGACTCAATACGGGAGTGATTTAGGTGATATTTGAAAATTCTTCAGGGGAACTCCAAAACAATACTGATAAAACCGGCGCCTTTTACAGCCCCACCTTATACCAAAAAAAGGTGGACAACAATTTTTTGCTTTCAGTTAATATCCAAGTGGAGAACTATAAAGCAAAGCAAAAAAGTCAGTCGATGTTTTCGAATTTTCTCCGTAGATTTATGGGGTATTCGAGTAAAACTTTATCACAGGCTTATATTTACTGCTTTTTATGTTGTTACGCTTTTCCTCTTTTCATGTACTGTCCAACTAGGAAACTGTCTCTATTTTTATGAAGATATTTTCAAGGGGATAAGATAACGAAGAAAGTCATTTAACTGTTTTTGGTCAAATAACCTCTGCAGAATAATTGTCGATCATGAGAGAAAATCCGAAGTGCACTCTGACCTTGCCGCTCTCTCAGAATTTCACATTCACCGTATCATATGAATTGCTTTTCTCCTTTACGCTCTCTCCCTTCTCCTTGCATTCTCAATTTCTACGAACCAAACAAAACGGTAAACTGCAGATATGTATGTTTCTGCGTCATAGATGTTGTCCAACTGACACAAAACCAAACAAAAATAATTACTTTTACATTCCTTGATTTTTATTTCTTTCACACGATAATCCATTAAGTTACACTTTCTGTGTGGTGATTATCTTAAAAGCAGCCCTTTAGTTTACATGGTTATTTGTCCTTTTCTTCGTTGTAATTGTCGAATTCTCTCCTCTCCATTCCTTTGCTTCTTTTCACTTCCGGGAAGTTCTTTAATTCTCTCTCAACCTGCCAGAAAAAAANTTGAAAGATAGTGCGATCTCAGAAAGTTCCGTATTTATTCTCATGGGATACATTTGCAAACTGCGTGCTGTGTCCTGCTTGGATGATGTAAACACAGAGCAGAAATAAGCATTAAAAAGCTCAGCCTTTTCGGCATGCATTTCTGTGTCACGTAACTTATTGTTATGTTACCAGTTAATTTTATTTCATGCTCGGTGTCCTTACGTTGATCGTAACATGGTGCCACATAGCGGGATTTAGATCAAATTATCAAGGATTACTTCCCAGCTTCGAACTCTTCAAGTCCAACGCTCCGTCCGTTATTGGTAGGCTCAACTTCGTTCCCAGGATCTCTCATCTTATCGCCCCCAGTGGGCGGTAAGATGAGAGATCCTGGGAACGAGGTTGTGGTAGGCTCACTGAAATCCATAGTTTGCGTTTGAGTTTGTGTTTGGATCGTTACACCTGGCATCACAAGTATCATGACTCCTATCAGTACTACTGGAAAAATTGCCTTGCCGTTGAATGTTTTCGACCGTTTACGCATGCATCAAGGAGAAAACTGGAAATCGTTTCGTCGTGAACGGAAGTTTTACGAGCTAGCAGCTGGCATTCACAAGAAATCACAAGAAAGTCGGGTTGTTTCGTTGTTAAATCTAATCGCGATTTACTCACATTTTTTGGAAGCAACCATATTGAGTATATTACTTTAAAAATTAGTAAAACCGTAGGTCTAGCATATTGCAAAGTTAAGACACTTTGTACCTCTCCACACCCTATTAAATATTTATCAGTCTTTGATTTCTCCTTATATCACTTACGGATTATCTGTCTGGGGTCAGGCTTAAAAGTCTTACCTACACGTCTATTACATAAACGTGTACTGCGTTTTATGTACTTCACAAAGAAAAATGAACAAACCATTCCATTGTTTATTAACGCTAAGTTTTTGCCTTTAAACTTTTTATACTATACAACTTTATCTGAATTGATGCACGACGTTAACACTGCTTTTGCCCCAATTAACATACGTAATTTATTTACGAAAACGTCTAATGTCCATTCTTACAACACACGCTCTTCTACTTCCGATGATCTTTACATAAAACCCTCAAAACTTTAGATACAAAAAAACGCCTTTTCAAGAACTGGTGCTGAACTATAGAATGAGATACCAAGGTCTCTGAAAGAACTACCATAAAAATCATTCAAACTCAGAATTAAAAATATACTACTAAGTGTTCTCGAAGAAGAAAATTCCTTTATTGAGACCTCGACCTAGATAAAGCCATCGAAACTATCAAAGCAAGTCAAGTTACTCACTCCCGAGCGAAAGAGATCTCAGAAGAATTTTCAGCTAACGAATATATTAATGCAGTGGGGCAAAAGTCGAAACCCAAGCGCCGGTAAAGGCCGGGTCGCAAACCTTCCAACAAGGACCCTCCCAAGATTAAAGAGTGTTTGTTTTGTGGTGGTACACATGCACCTGAAAGGAAATTGCGTCCAGCTTCAGGTCACAAATGTAAGAAGTGTGGCAAAGAAGGCCATTTTGCAGCCAAGTGTCGAAGCAAGTCTGGAAATTCAAAAGTTCACATTATTGAACAAGAAAGAGTCTTTTTCATTCGTAGTATTAGTGGTAAAGATCAAGCTCTTTTATCGCTCACTTTGAATGGTTCAGCATCAGTGACATTTCAAATTGACAGTGGTTCGTCTGCAAATATCTTGCCACTGCAGGATTACATAGGGGCAACAAAAGATTGCAGTAAAGTTTACATTATTCCTATGGAAATCACACCGTTTATGCGCAATCACTCAAAGCGAAAGGCTCTTGGTTCTGCAAGGCTGAAAGTGGAACATAAAGGTAACAAGCATGAACTTATCTTTGCTAGTTACACCTTTGCTAAGCTAGTTACACGTTTGCTTGGTTTGAAGTCATCACAAGGCATGAGTCTTGTGAAGATTATGTTGCCTGAAGTTGATACCCCCGTCAATAATGTAGTTGCAGCTCCTTCAGATCCTTGTGTCCACCGTCCAAGAAGGTTGGCCTAGCACTCTGGTTGAAGTTCCAGCTGAGATCAAGCCATACTTCCAGTTTCGAGATGAAATCACAGCCCAAAATGGTTTGCTGTTCAAGGGCGAGCGCCTCAATGTACCTGATAAGTTAAGAAAGGAAACGATGGAAAGGGTCCATTCGTCCCATCGTGGTATTGAGGGTTGCCTTCGACGAGACAGAGAAGTGTTCTACCGGCCGCGCATGAATGCTGAGGTAAAAGATTTCATTCTCAAATGTGATATCTGCAATTTGTACAAGCCAGCACAGCCTCGAGAACCGCTAATACCCCATGAAATCCCATCAAGGCTTTGGGAAAAAGTTGGCACGGTTCTGTTCTTGTTTGACTGCTTGTGTAATATCTCTTTTCCTTTCTCTACAAATTTTTTAATGTTGATTATACTACGTATTTTCGTTAATGTTTTGCAAGTTTTGTTTGTTCTGGGTTTTGCAGAAAGCTAGAAAGTTTGCGGAAACATCAGCTTCAGAGTTATTTTAAGCCACACTCTAATGACCAAGCCATTTCAAAGACAACCCAAAAAATATCCTACTGTAAATGACGTAAACTGAACGAATTAATGTGTTGGTACCGATAAACCGTTTTACCAGATCCGAAGGGCTTAATGACTTCGTCAACTTTGGACGCCAGGATTCTTAATTGGTGAAATCTTCAACTACTCAACCGGTGTAACCCAACTTATATAGAAAGGTATGACTAAATACCGTGTTATTTTCATCGCCTGCTTAATCCAAAATAAAGTAGACAAATGAACAGTGATTTAAAAAAGGACTGTATAAATCCAAACCGTGTATGTCTTACGTTAGTGCGGAAAGATATTTATCCGTGCAGTGATATGAATTATTTTTCCTTTCCCTTTTTTTCACTTCCTTGTTGCGAGTGTTGAGTTTTTTTATAGGTAAGAAAAACCAAATTATATCCTTATAGTCACTTTGATTCCCGTGTTTTTCTGCACAAACTAAAAGAACAGTACCTTATGCGCAAGATTCGTTTCGCTAGTTTGAGAGACTTTCTTCAACTTAATTTAGATTAATGAAACCAGATTAATAGAAGTAATATTTCTGAGTCACAAACGCTATTGAATTCACACAAAACCAGAGAACAAAGCTAATCGTCTAATCTTTAATTTTGATTTCTTTGTTACGATAATCATTAGATTACAGTATTTGTGTCATAATCAGTCCTTTCAGCAGGTTAACATGGCTATTTCTCCTTTTCTTCGTTGTAATCGTCGGATTGTCCTCTTTCCATTCCCCTGCTTCTTTTAACTTGAGGAAAGTTGTTTGCGCCTCTCTCAACCTATCAGAGGGAAATTGAAAACAGAAGAAGAAATCACGAAGTTAAAGACATTCCTTTAGCCTAAGAACCCAGAATTTAAAATAATAGGTTGTTTTATTAAAAGATTCAATGAAATAAATTACAGGAAGACTGTTATACAGCGAACCACTTTTCGTAAAATTCAATTATCTTCTAAAGCGTATATGCACCATAGTCTAATTTCATTGCAGCGATTGCAATGCAAAAACTAGCTGGCTAAAGACGCCAAAGATATATCTAAATTGTTAGAGAATATTAGAGAAATTGTTAGAGACACTCCTTAAGTAGCCCAAAGATCTAGAAAATTAAAAAACACGTTGGGGCAATGAAAGATCAGGGATTCAGTTTATGGGACGATCGTTTCTCACTTTGACACAGGTTTTCAACAATAATGCAATGCCAGCCAATTTACAGTATTCCACATAAATTAGCATTAAGTGATAAACCCAAGAACTATCCCTTTTTTTTCCAGTCGCCGTTCCCTGAACACTGAATATTCTTAATCCTTCTTGCTAATATTCAGTTGTCGAGCTTAAATCAGTTGTGTTTATCAAAACTACGAGGGAACGATGCAAACCTGTTTCTCCAACTCTCTTTTTTTCCCCCCCCTGGGATATAGGTCCTGAAAAGCCGTGACTATCAGTAACGAGATTTGCGAGCAGAAATAGAGCGGCAAGAACTAACACAGCTTGGTTCTTCATTCTTTCAATGCTTGAAAACGACAACAGTGGACAATCAGTATTTCGATGGACTTCTCTTGCATGGGTAGAGATCTGTCGCTTTTATTTCCTTTCATGGAAAATTAAACATCAAACTTCCGCTATTAAATTAACAATATGGGTGCAAAAAGAGCTCCGCCCTATCTAGATTACCTGGTTTTAACTGTATTTTTGGGCATTAAATACGAACATTATTCTACCTCGAATTCAAATGATCACTCTTAAACAACAGGCTTTACTGGGTAAATTCTGACATGCGCCCTAAAACAAGCTAAAACACACTCGTCGTGCAACTTTCTGACAGAGGCAAGTTTCTGCTCGAGTCCAACTTACGACTTCTTGCAACTACTTGCGAGTCCGTTTGGCCAGGGCTTCAAAATAAAGAAGCCTCATCATTAGGAAAGTGATCTTGTGCATGGGAAATCTTCTCTCTTTTTTTCCGAGGAAAGTGCTGATCAATTACCTCTTTTGGAAACATGCCGCTTCTTTAATTAAAGGTCTACTTTGGCGAAATTAGTAAATGCGAAGGTGTCATAAATCATGGAAACGCCTTCATCGGTCATTTAATTTAATAATTTAATTTAATTATATTTTGTAGGAAAACTTGTCTTTGCTTAAGTGTAATATCATGTCCCGATCTAACTTCCTTTAAATATGGAATAATTTTGTGTTCTAAACTTAGCAAAATTAATGCTAGAGCAAAATACAGTTTCGTATTACAAATCCACACAAGTTGCCTGATTATCGTGCTAATAAAATGGATGGTTAGAATTTGTACAATCGAACATTTCTAAGAAGTACCTTAGCACTGCCTAAGCTAACAAAATGTAAGGTGACAAACTGGCCGCCCGAGAAACTTCTTCATTTTTTTCTTTCGCTTAGTGATTACTTTCACGAGCGATGCCAGGATCAACGTAAATACTTGACAGATGATTTCCTGGGCAGATGTAATTTAATTCAGATGTAAAAAAAAAAAAAAAGAGAAAAAATTCTCGATCCATACAGGATCGAAATGCATCCTTGATCTCAGTTCTACGTACCTCTACAATGATTCTCATCGATAAGTTTCGTCACATAACTACAGGAATAAAATTGACCCTTTTTTGCATGAATTCCTTTGTTTTCTTTATAGATAAAAAAGGATGGAAAAATTGATTTGTTTTCACGGATAACCTAACATCATGTTAGGTATTTCAGACACTGGACTTGAAATCCAAAGAACTCAAAATAGGTGCAATTTAGGCGATATTTGAAAATTCTTCAGGGAACTCCAAAACAATACTGATAAAACCGGCGCCTTTTACAGCCCCTCCTTAAATTAAAGAAAGGTAGAGAATAATTTTTTGCTTTAATATCCAAGTATAGAACTATAAAACAAAGCAAAAAAGTCAGTCGGCGCACGGGGTTTTCGAACTCTCTCCGTAGATGTATTGGGTATTCGAGTAAAACTATATCACAGGCTTGTATTTAATACTTTTTATGTTGTCACGCTTTTCCTCTTTTCATGTACTGTCCAACTCAGAAAACTGTCTATTTTTATAAAGGTATTTTTAATTAATTGTCGAAATTATGAGAGAAAATCCGAGGTACACTCTGACCTTACGGCTCTCTCAGAATTCAACATTCACCGTATCACATAAATTGTTTTTCTCCTTTACGCTCTCTCCATTCTCCATGCACTCTCAATTTCTACGAGCCAAACAAAACGGTAAACTGCAGATGTGTATGTTTCTGCGTCATAGATGTCGTCCAACTGACACAAAACTAAACAAAATAATTTTACATTCCTTGATTTTTATTTCTTTTATACGATAATCCATTAAGTTACACTTTCTGTGGGGTGATTATCTTAAAATCAGCCCTTTAGTTTACATGGTTATTTGTCCTCTTCTTCGTTGTAATCGTGGAATTCTCTCCTCTCCATTCCCTTACTTCTTTTAACTTCAGGAAAGTTCTTAAAGTCTCTCTCAACCTGCCAGAACAAAAAAGGTGCAAACAGAAGAAAAAAAAATCATTCAAAAAAGCATTCAATTCACAGGAAGACTGTTTCTCAGTGGTTCAGTATTTCAAACATTCCCTGATCCCCCCCAACGCGTATAGGTGCCATAGTTTAATTTCGTCTGCCATAAAAGCTAAACTAGCAGGTTAAAGACGCCAAACATACACAACTTTAGAGAATGTTAGAGCCGTTGTTAGACACATCCCATCCACAATACAAAAACACACATTTCTCAGTTAAACAAAACTTCTGTTTTAATATTCAGTGATGCATCACCCATGCATGCCCATAGGTTATTTTAACCAGAATAATTTTTACGCGGAAAGCTATACCAGCTGGACAGACAGGCCAAAGATGCATAAAGCCTCACAAGGTTAAATTCGTATCCTAAATAACTTTTTTAAGAGACCAAACTAGCATTCATTTGATAACCAAACAGTTCAAAACCTTTTCTTGGTGTTCCCGTTTTCGTGGTGTTCCTGGACCAATGCATTCACTCTCAGCCACCAACGTTGTGAGCATTAGAACAGCAGTAAGAAATACAACAGATTGGATCTTCATTTTTAAACAACTTGAAAACGACTGGTGTATGGACAACTCAGCAGTTACTCCAGTTGACTGCCTTAGCTTGCTTGTTTTCTCGAGCTCTTTATATTAATTATATGTGTAAGTCGGAAGAGTCAATATTACATTACCGACAACTTCTTTTACAACTCGCCGTCGGCCTTTCATTAATTAAGAAATCTTATACATGCGGCTTCTCTACTCTTCTTTGACATAGAAAGTGCTAATTAATTTTATAAAATTACCTTTACTGCGGATTTAATTTATAAACTTTTACCTTTTTTGTTTTACAACTTGTCCCCGCCTCGCCATAATCATTTTTGCAAATCTTATACCCGTGGAAAGCTCGATAATTGAAAGAAATACCAACTATAAAACCTACCTTATGGAATCATCTATTTTTTAATTTTTTTTTCCCCTAACTGGTAATTTCAGTGTAGGGCAACTGGTTTCGTCCTTGTAATTAATTTGTTTCGTTTAATGACATTTTTTTATTTAATATAAATATAATCTTGTAGAATACTTTGGCGGCCTCGTCAAAGAAACCGACTTTAACTTGAGTATTTTCGACAACTTGCTTTCTGGCTAAAATTTCAACCGAAATTCGTCATCTTTATTGTGTTAAATTACGCCAAATTACGCCAAAAGAAAAATAAAGTGAAAGCTGAACTGACTTGATTTTTACATGGTTGAGTTTTTTAATGCTTTAAGAGTGAACAACGATTTCTTAGTTGCAGACAACATTTGAAAGTGGAGTAAAACACTTATTTAAAGGTACATTTTGTACAAGCTGTAACTCCGAAAAGCAGCTAGACAAGTTAGACAAGATCATAAGATGCTGGTTGCCAAATTTTCAAACGATAGCTCAGTCTTCTCCATCCACAGAGTGCTAATTTCATCTACTGTCTTATTAACAGTGACTTTTCACATGGAAATAAACTTTTTGAAAAATACGCCTTTTGAGGAGACCAAAAGGTATAGCTTGATAAGCGATGGTTTCAGTCCAAACCTTTTCTCGCAACTCTCTCGTTCCTGGCTGAAAGAGTTCACACTCGGCGACCAACGTTGTGAGTATCACGACAGTAGTAAGAGCTACAACAGCCTGGATCTTCATCTTGAAACAACTTGAAAACGACAACAGTGGACAAGCCAGCACTTTGCTCCAGTTGAGTGTCTTAGCTTGTTAATTTTGCTTTTTCTTTATGGTGTTTTTACAATATAAATTCAATTACCGGTAATTTCTTTTCATGGGACAACTCGCCGTCTGCCTATCATTGGGAAATCTTATACATGCGGACTTCCCGGCTACTCTTTTTGGCATAGAAAGTGCTAATTAATTTTGTAAAATTACCTTTACCGTCCTTTACTGAATCTAATTTTTCAGCAATGTGAACTTATCTCTTCTTCGCTATAATCATCAGTAGAGAAATCTCATACCCGTGGATAGCTCGATCATGAAAATGAAATATTTATAATAATAATAACTACTTTATGAAAACATCTATTTTGCAAACTTTTTACTTAAGAGCCGATTCCTGTAAATACCGAGAATGAGATGACAGTCGCGAAATTTTGGATTTCTTCATATTTTGCCAAGATAACCTCTATGGTGAGTTGTTTGCGAAAATACCATTCAAAGGTCCTGAAGCGCTTTAGTTTTTTCGAAATCGAGGAAAGTCCGAAAATCGCCATTTTAGCTGCCTGCCGCCGCCGAAAATGACCGAAAAATGTGCATTTTCTTTTCGCTCGTACAGGTCAACGCGATGATATCTATCAATATACTTTGGGTAGCTCATAGTGCATGTCTTGCTGTTTCTAAAGTATTAATTTGATTAGCAAAAACTCCAAGTGT